CGACACGGGGCAGGAAGGAAGGGCCAGCGACGGGCGACACGCCATTGATGGTGGCAGGGTTGGAGATAGGGTCAGCGACAGCAGCAGGGCTGCACGGAGTGTCCGTGATAATGAGCAGCCTGCATTGCAGGTGACATGGGCCTCACTGGTCAGCGGTCTGAATTGCATCAGACATACAAAGCAGATTGTCATACACACAGCTCTGATTGGCTGCTCTGTACCATTTTGCATAAGAAGCCTGCCGTACCAGTGTGCCCAAACGCCAGCGTGGCACTGCAATCTGATATCACAAAGACAGGTTCGGTGATGTGAAGAGCCACCAGAGGGAGCTGGAGAGCCACTGACAGGGGACCATTAACTGCTTGCGTCCTGGACTGACAGCGCCTGCAGCAATCCCAGAAGATTTGCTTCAACAAGGGGAAATCCCGCGCATTGCTGCAAGTAAAAGCTTCTCTCCTGAGCCCTTCCATCATCCTGTGCATGCACGGTCACCCTGCGACTGCACTTGAAGTGTATGTCAAGCCAAAACGTCATTTCTATTTAGATGGGGTGGGAAAGGGTAAGAACCCCTAAAGATTGCCTATTGGAATGAGGGTGCCCCAACCGCCAGCACCCAGACCTCACTGCCGGACTGAGCCACAGCAGGTGGGTACATTGCGTCACCAGGGACTTACAAACGTTTCCAGTAGGGGAAGCATCTGTCATTATATACACCAATAATAATTAGAATTATAATACTATTAATAATAAATACGCTGGGGAGATAACACTTGTTTACTATCATTGTTTAGCGCCCCCTAGAGGAGAATAAGGCGGGGCTCCCGTAGTGCATTGCAGTCCAGCAGTGAAGGGTTAAACAAGTCCAAAGAAGCGTTTTCTCATTTCGGGTCATCTGCAAAAGAAGACGGATGGAGATGTCAGTGATCAGCTATGGCATCCAAAGACTGTGTACTGAACCGTCAAGTGTATGGCTGCACACAGATCTTAGGCTGGGTTCACACCCAGGCGTATCGAATATGCGCGTTTGTCGCGCCTTTCGTGCCGCACGTTTTTACCACGATTAGCGGTAAGAAAATGCACGACAAACAAGCGTTTCCGAGGGCTACCTGGCTGTATCCCAATGGATACACGTGGCAAATACGCCCCAAAGAAGCTCCTGTACTTCTTTGGGCGTAGGGAGTTTTGTAGCGCGTTCATACGGCCTGTAATACGCCCAGGTGTGAACCATGCCCATAGGAAATAATGGGATTTCGGTGTTTGAGCATTTTGCAGAGCGTAGGAACGCGCTACAAAACGTCCAGGTGTGAACCGGGCCTTAGAAGATGAATCGTACCTGGTGCCGCTCACATCTGACTCCGGCTCTCTGTGTTGTCGGAGGAAGGGTCATAGATGTAACATCCGACGTCCCCGATATTCACCCCTGGGGGAGAACAATTCACACATTAGACACAATCCCTGAGATCTGCATTACAGTAACACTTCGGCCGTACTCAGCCTGACCATTAAGTGTGGGCGATGGCGGTCTGCTCCTGCCCAATCCCTGCCCTCCCACAGATCCACAGTATAGCATCACTCCACCCAGTGGCAGAAATATTGCCATAGCGACCCAGGGGGCAACTGTGGGGCCCAGCCAGGATGAGGAACAAAGGGGTCCCCCTGATGCCGTGCGGGTCCCTATGGCATCGTAGGCTGCTGGCTGTCACTGGTATGTGTGAGGAGGAACGTGCCGCTGTCCAGATCACTGAACCTGTGCAGCAGCGCGTTCCTCCTCCCAGCCGCTGCCGAGTCAGTGACAGCCAGCAGCTGCGGTGCAGGAGGCCGGGGCCCGACACTGGCAGCGAAGGAGGCAGGGCCCGACGGCGATAGAGGAAGAGTCCAGGCCTGGCACCTGTGGAGCAGGCGTGCCCCGGAAGTGTAAAAGGCTTACAGCGGATCAGGGCTGACAGGGGTGTGACTAGCGCTCCTGAGATCCTGCAGAGCCCACAATAGAGAGTTTATGGTGGGCTCTGCAGGGTCACTCTCAGGTGGGCTGTGTGGGATCTCAGGTGGGCTCTGCAAGGGGTGTAACTAGAAGTCACAGGGCCCCATACAAAATTTTGCCATGGGGCCCTGTGATTTTTAGTTACGCCCCTGACTCCACCCATACACAGCCCAACTACTAAAGTGTGGGAGATGGTGGTCTGCTCCTGCCCAATCCCTGCCCTCTCTGATGAAGATCAGCACTCTACCCACACACAGCCCGATCACTAAGAATGGGAGATGGCGGTCAGGAAGGCAAAGACACATACAGTCCAGCTGTAATGCAGACACAGGCAGTAGCAGCGTACAGTCCAGCTGTAATGCAGACACAGGCAGTAGCAGCGTACAGTCCAGCTGTAATGCAGACACAGGCAGTAGCAGCGTACAGTCCAGCTGTAATGCAGACACAGGCAGTAGCAGCGTACAGTCCAGCTGTAATGCAGACACAGGCAGTAGCAGCGTACAGTCCAGCTGTAATGCAGACACAGGCAGTAGCAGCGTACAGTCCAGCTGTAATGCAGACACAGGCAGTAGCAGCGTACAGTCCAGCTGTAATGCA